TTTTTTCCTTTTTTTTTTTTTTTTTTTCCTTGTAAATGACTCAGTTCTGTTTGGCTAAAAATACAGGAACTGTCTGAACAGTATAGATCTCTGTGCTGTGTGGAGAGTATAGGAATTTCCTATAGAATCTGAAAAATGCTCTTCTCAAGGCTTTAGTGCTGTACTATTTCTCTCATAGACGTTCAGAGGCATAATGAGGCCCACAAACCGTAGCACTCAATGAAGGGGAGTGGGAAGCAGTGCTACCTATCTAACTGGAGTCAGATAAGTTTCAGCTTAGGCCAAAGCAAAGAGCTGCCTCTGGGCTTCGCTCCCAGCGTTTTCACTTTGGTATTTTGCTAGGAAAACTTTGACCTGTGGCCAAAAAAGAGCAGTTAAAAATAGTACAGTCTCTCTGAAAAATGCATCAGGTTAATTACTTAACCCCAGCAGACTTCTTCACACTCTGCTTTTATACTCAACAGAGCGTTTCTTTCATTCTCTTGCCTCCCATGCCGCATACATAGATTAGATACACGAAAAGCTGTTAATGTTTCTGAAGAGAAATTCTAATTGTGAAATTGAGACTTGGCTGCTTAGCACTTTTTTTTAAGGTTTTGTAGGCTTATAGTGGAGACCAGTTCATGTAATACACTGGAGAAATCAGTAATCCATAAAAGAGCACTAACTGGATTGTACGTATGCAATTTTTGTTGCAGAGTTAATCACTTTTTTTCTCTGCATTTCCCTCTGCGAGTATGGCTTAAATAATTAACTGTGGGGAAGATGTAACATTAATGAATCAAGTTTTGTTGTTTTCTGTTTTACATGCCTGTCTATGACATAATGAATTACTTCAGGTTTTGTTTTTTTTTTAATGATTTATGAAATTTGCAGTGGGTTTCCTGTAAAAGCCTCTGGGGCTTTGGTTTTGTTGCTTTATGCTGTGTGACGTTAATTTTGTATGGGCATTTAGTTAGGGTGACTATTGCAATCCTAGTATGAAAACATCATATTTGAATTGCAACATTTACTTGTTTAGTAAACAGCTCACTTCTCACTTTCAGTGTAAATTATCGTAAGTGGAAATGTGTTTTCATTTAAAAGTGGAAATAGAGCTACAGAAACTAAGCCAGGGAAAAGGTCTCAAAAAGACTGGCTGGAACGCTACTGTTTCATCCTCCAAAAATAACATAGCCAAAACTAAAAATGTGGAATGGAATTCAAAATGGAATTCATTTCCTTACGCCGTAAAAAGTCATCAACAGCTGCTATTCTGCATTTTGTGTGCGTGTTTTATTTTTGGGAAGCTGTAGGAAGCAAAGAAGTGGCTGTTAAACTACCACACGTGATGCAAATTTCAGGGAACTGACAAAGCGGGAGGGGGTAATAAGCTGTCCTTCCCTAGATATCAGCTTCATTGCCTATCCAGAGCGATGTGTGTGGTGGCTCTGGGTGAGGACGTGCTCCTTCTGCACCTTCCTCACCACATCTGTCTGTTTCTTAACAGGAGGAACTCTGAGGCCAAATACAGCAGTCATTTCCCTTCAGCCCCATGAGGCTCAGTTAGAAGTCTGTGTATGGCCATTGCTATCTTGTATGCCTCAGCACTTCCTATTTTTGCATAACCATTTATTATTTATTATTTATTTTTGCATAACCATTGAGCATAACCATTTATTTGATTAAAATATATCTTTGGAAGAGTCATGTGGCTTCAATTCAGAGGCATTAAGGTGGAGAACTCCTTGCTGACTTTGTTCAGGTAGTTAATTGTGATGATAGAATTGATCAAATATGCAAATTGAAATGCACTGCTTGCTTATTGCAGTCTTTTTACTACTGAATATAAAAGTAGCCATAGAGAACTTAATACTTGTTAGCATGGCTCGTATGCAAAGTCTGAGCTGCACTTGATGGGTTTTTCCTGGTTTTGGTCTGCTAAGGGGTTGAAAATGAAAACGGCAGCGTGAGAGCTGCGTACACCTTTCTATGCAGACTCAAGCAAAGACAGCCACAAAGGACAGTGTTTCCTGCAGCCTAGTTTTGACATCTGATGAACATTCTTTCTCTCTCTGTAACTTAATGAAAGCCTGAGTTCAGTGGCCTATGCTGAGATAGATGACTTCTTATATTGCACCTGTCAGCAGTAGGGTCTTACTCTTTCTGCTCTTGTAACATTGTGTCAGTCACTACTAAAACATGTTAGAATTAGGTTGTGCAGATCAGTTTGCAAAAATACTGTATTCTTCTAACTTCTTCCTCTGCCAGCTTGTGTCATCTGCTCATGTCACAAAGTGACATTTCCGTGTGCTGCATCTACACCTTGATGGTTGGGCTAAATGGGATGTGACTTTGTGTGATCCATAGGAAACCCTTGTATAAATACATTCCTACTGAATAATTCAGAGTTGACAGCTATGTTTCAGAAGAGCTTAGCAGCTCTGAAGTACATGTGCTGCTTTATTCTTTTGCATATATGTGCTATCTGCACTATTAGCTGAGTTGATTTATGTAGTATCAAATGCAGGTTTTATAAGGGTGCGGTTGGAAGCATTAGCTCAACTTTTACAGTGCTCTAAACCATGAGTATACAGGTCAGTGTAGGCTATGCAAAACTCATCCAGATTTCCCATTCCTTGCCTTGTGTAACCATGTGGGTCCTATGCACGTTGAACCCAGCTCTAGAATTTTTAGGGTGGTGCCAAACTGCTTTGATGAATCTCTTTGTCCTCCTCCCTGCAGCTGTCTTTGTGCAGTTCGAAGGCTTTTGGTTAGAGAAGGGAACATGCAAGCCCCAGTGTTTCAGCCTTAGGCTTCTGCCTTGATGTTTCGTAGCAGAGGTAAAAGTGTTGAATATCTTTGCCACAGCTGAGGAGGTGTGAGCCTCTGGGAGAAGCAATTCTTAGACTGCAAAGCAGGCAGTGCAGCACTGCAGTGAGCACAGTGCTGGGCTGCACACACCATTCCACGTGGTTGTGGAATGCTGAGATGTGGGGGGACCATCAGCAATAGTGTGCTCAAGCGACATGGAGTGTGTGCCTTCAAACTGGGAGGGAAAAAAAAGAGGCTGTTACTCAGCTGGTGGGTAAACTGTATTTATGCTAGTTTGGACATGAATTTCTATTCATGATCAGCAAAATGTATCCTTGCCATTATGACTGTTGAATTTTGCTCCTAATGAAAAATGCATTGTGGATGCAGCTCTGACTCCCGTCTTCTCTACAGATCCTCTGTAGAATCTCATCACCTGGATAGATACCAAGTGTGAACTTAGCAGATCACTCAGCTGAGCTCCCTTAACGCAGAGTCTTCTGGAGTTTGTGGCTGACACTCATTTGCAGTTTTTGCTCCTATGAGCTTTCAGAGTGTTTCAGAGTTAATGTGAGAGTTGTCTCACTTTCCTAAGTTTACTGCCATGTGATTTTTGAATGAGCAAGAACAATCTGTTGTGTTAATTTGAACCGTTGAGCACAAGAAAGAGCTGAAAACATAACAGGGTCTGATCTGAAATGTATTGCCTGGAAACTGGTGGAGAGACCAAATGATCCTTTGTTCTTGGAGAAATCTTTGCTTTCTTGTTTAGTTCTTATCCTTTTATTTCATTCTTAGCTTTTGACTCTTAATAGAAATGTTCTATTTCTAATCTGTAATTTCAGATCATCTACTGTAAAATTAAAAACATGAGCTTTAAGAATTGCCTTTTGTTAATTGTTCCTATGTGATAGATTTATATTTAGCAATATAGTTAACTGGGGAAGGACAGTTCTATTTTCTGACACATTTAGGTGTTCTTATATCCTGTATTATTCATGCCAGAATTAAAGCATTTCACTCAATTTAAGAAACAGGAAAAAAATGGCTTTGCTCAGCTTCAGGGCTTTTAATGCCACACATAGGATGCATAGATCAGTGTGCGTGCATTAGGGGCATTTGTGCTCCAGATATTTTACCTGTATTGATCGGGTACACAGTTGTTAGTATCCTTCAGATATTCAATTAGCCCAGTTCTTTTCTGCCTTACGCGTGGTAGAAAAAAAAAAAAACAAATCACTTTTCCAAGAACTGGTAGCCTTGGTGTCCATTGGGGATTGTGTGCAAATGCTGATTAAAAACTGTTTTGTTAAGTACAATTT